GAATCTAAAATTTGCAAAAAAATTACGCCAATCAGTTTTAATCAATTTCGACAGTCTTTTTTTTATTCTGATAAGCGAATTTATACAAAAGTATCTTCTAAATTTTATTTTCTAATCTTTGATAACATAACTGATTGTGCATTAAATATTCTATTTTAATTTGAATTTGAACTTTTAGAAATTTTGCTATCATAGTTATTAAAATTAATTCAATTTTTATAAATGGAATAAAACAAAATTATCGTTTCGTTTTAGACAAAAAAAAAAAATTTTAAAAAAAAAAAGAAAAATGGAAAAGAAAGAAAAAGAAGAAAATGAATTGATTAGAATAATAGCAATTTTCTGATTATGTGACAATTTCCATAGTAATAAATTAGTTTATTATAATAAATTTTATTGCAAAAAGTAGAAAATACATTTTTCTATTCTTTTGCTTATTTATTGAGTTTCTTTCTTTTTTTTTTTTTTTGAATGCAAATTTTTTTTATGCTTAATCTGTCAAAGTTTTAAATTTTCTAAAAGTTTTTGAATTTCTGAAAATCATTGAAATTTTTAACTTTTATTAGAGTTAGTCAAATTTTTTTTGCTATTTCTGCAATTCTTGAATTTTTCCACCTATTTTAGCATGCTGGATATGGTTTTTTTTAGATATATTTTACAAAATGTACATTTAAATTACTTTAGAAATATTTTACAAAATATACATTTAAATTACTTTAGAAATATTTTATAAAATGTACATTTAAATTACTTTAGAAATATTTTACAAAATATACATTTAAATTATTTTAGAAATATTTTACAAAATATACATTTAAATTACTTTAGAAATATTTTACAAAATGTACATTTAAATTACTTTAGAAATATTTTATAAAATGTACATTTAAATTACTTTAGAAATATTTTACAAAATGTACATTTAAATTACTTTAGAAATATTTTACAAAATGTACATTTAAATTACTTTAGAAATATTTTACAAAATGTACATTTAAATTACTTTAGAAATATTTTACAAAATGTACATTTAAATTACTTTAGAAATATTTTACAAAATATACATTTAAATCACTTTAGAAATATTTTACAAAATGTACATTTAAATTATTTTAGAAATATTTTACAAAATATACATTTAAATCACTTTAGAAATATTTTACAAAATGTACATTTAAATTACTTTAGAAATATTTTACAAAATGTACATTTAAATTACTTTAGAAATATTTTACAAAATGTACATTTAAATTACTTTAGATATATTTTACAAAATGTACATTTAAATTACTTTAGAAATATTTTACAAAATGTACATTTAAATTACTTTAGATATATTTTACAAAATGTACATTTAAATTACTTTAGATATATTTTACAAAATGTACATTTAAATTACTTTAGAAATATTTTACAAAATGTACATTTAAATTACTTTAGAAATATTTTACAAAATGTACATTTAAATTACTTTAGAAATATTTTACAAAATGTACATTTAAATTACTTTAGATATATTTTACAAAATGTACATTTAAATTACTTTAGAAAATGGATGATAAACATTTACGCAATATAAATTTAAGGTATGACTTATTGAACTAATCTAAAATAGCATTTAGACAAATTTAAGCAATTTAAGAAATATATTTAAAGAATCGATGGTCATCGTTTTCATGACTTTCCGATACCTAACTTAACAAAATTTTTAAAGTTATTTAAAGTAAAATTTTTAAAGTTAAAAAATTATTCAGTGTTTACTTCATTCCTTAATATTTTCGATGATTAAATAATAGTGCATTATTTGCAGTGCTAATCAGTAAATGATAGTGCAAAAGTGATAGTAACTCAAATTCATAATCAGTAATCAGTTATCACTAAATAATTTTTAAGCTCTCATTGCTAATACGTATTGTCTTTCTTTTGCTATAACATTTGTTTTGATGCAATAACTTTAAATTTGTTAATTTTTTTTATTTTAAATTTAAAAAATTTTTTATTTTAAATTTATTAATTTTTTATTTTAAATAATGAAGAAGTTGTGAAAATGTTATTCGCTAGTAATTATAATACAAAACAAATTAAACATTACAATTATGTTTATAAATTTGTAATAATTACTTACGAATATCAAATAAGGAATACAATTAATAAAAAATATTTAAAAAAAAAAGAAAAGAGAATTGGTTATGGCCATTATGTGACAACGGTCTTTTTTTTTTCTTCTAACTAAATTTTGTTATTTTTCAAATTAATTATTTTACTTAGTATTGTATTTCTACTCTGATAAATGGCCTAAGGTTGTAATTAGGCCAAAAAAGGCCAATAATTTTTGTTTGTATATTTTAAGTAAATAACAGATCATTTCCCAGTATTATTATAATAAACTTAACAATATGTCTTGTCTTGAAACTTATATGAAAAGCATGCTAAGCTGACAGATAATTTATTGAACTTAAAAAGTTTTAAAAATTTAGAAAATGTAAACCAATGTTACAAATTGTAAAAATAATTAATTAATTACTTTTGGGTGATGTTTTAACTTACTAAAATTAAAACTTAAGTGATCTCTTTGTATAGCCAAATAGTAAACAAAAACAAATTATATGATATACAATAAGAAGTTAACTTGTAGAGAGATGAAGCGAACAAAGAGCATTGATCTTTGTTTACAATTCATTTGAAAGGTAAATAGAAGATAAATGGTAAGACAATGTTTAATTTTATGAGGGATAAATGCAAATTTTATTTGATACAATTTGTAAGTTATTTAGAGAATCGTAAAATTTATTTCGAATTTCATGACAGAAGGATTTGTGTCACTTGAAATTTTAAATTTCTTAAAGTGGTTTGAATTATTGCAATATTTACTATTACAATAATATTGCTGTAAAAGAATTGTTGTTTCAATAAATTTCTTAAAGTGGTTTGAATTATTGCAATATTTACTATTACAATAATATTGCTGTAAAAGAATTGTTGTTTCAATAAATTTCTTAAAGTGGTTTGAATTATCGAAATATTTACTATTACAATAATATTGCTGTAAAAGAATTGTTGTTTCAATAAATTTCTTAAAGTGGTTTGAATTGAATTATCGAAGTATTTACTATGACAATAATATTGCTGTAAAAGAATTGTTGTTTCAAATAAATTTCTCGAACTTTGCAAGACTTATTTCGAATTTCATGACAGAAGGATTTGTGTCACCTTAAACTTTAACATTTTTCTATTTTAAATTTCGATGCTTTTAATTGGTGCATTATTTTCTATCACAATAATATGTAAATTTTTGTAAAAGAATTGTTATTTCAAATAAATTTCTCAAATTTCCACTCAGGCGGAAAGATATTATTTCAATTTGTAAATTTAACAATTCCGTAAAGCATATTTCACATTTATTCAATGCTTATTGATGATTTCTTGGTGAAAAATTTGATGAATTCTACATTTTGACAGTGATATCAATTTCACTAATCACTGATAAAGCAAATGACATTATAATATATCAATTGATAAATAAACATTAACAAATGTAAGTCATTACTGATAAGAAATATCAATAATATACGTATGTAAACGCATAATATCAATTTGATAAAAAGTAAGAGTAAAACTAAATTAAAGTCAAATATTTATTATAATCCTATTCACTCTTTTTACTCAATCTATTATCACTCTTATCATATCTTAATGAGCATTTCATACTGTTATCAAATGATTTCTTAAAATTTTCAATTTCATTAAACAAACATACATTGCATTGAAAAACTAAAGTAACAATGATAATAAGTAAATTATATTAGTTCCTTCGTTTGCAAATTAAATGAAAATGAAGGAAATATTGTCATATCAGATCGATAATATTTGCTATAATTTGCAAATTTGAATATTATAATGAAAAAAACTTTTATTGAAAAATGAGGGATTTAGAGTAAAATGAAATGTCTAATGATAGATTCATAGTAATAAAATTGAATAGCATTCATAAATTTTAATTTCAGGTTAATTTTGAAAAGTAATTATCATCATGACAAAGTGATGTCAATAATGCTATAATTGATTTTGGTGCAAAATGCATGCAAATAACTCAAATAGTAGTATAAAAAAGTTTTTCATTTCCTAGAATTTTTATTTTAAATTTTTGAATTTTTATTTTAAATAAAAATAAGTAATTAAAAGGAATTTGAATAATTTTCAATTATAGCAAATGATAATTTTTCATTTAATTTAAATTACTCAAGAAGAATAGTTCGAATTAATGAAAATGACAAATTTCATTTAATTTTAAAATGATCAAAAAAAAAGTGGAAATTGAGTAAATGATAAATGATTTACTAAAATTCAATAAGGTAATCACAAAAAATCTATTCAAACAGACTTTACGGCAGATGTATAATTGACGACAAAAAATATAAAAATAAAAAAAACGAAAACAAAAAAATTAGCAGCAAAAATAACTGAAATAAGAAAGAATATACAATGAACTTACTCATATTATAATTTGTAAACAATAAAAATAAATGGTAAACAATTAATACTAATTTGTCATAGTTTCCGGTACAATTTGAAGTTTTTGATGATTTGACAAGACCGGATCCGATTACTTACAATTTTACCAAAATGAAGGGTAACTTATTTCATGTCCTATTAATTTGCTTGAATTTATTGTAAAATATAAACAAAAAATTACGAATTGAAATGTGGGAAGAAAGAGGCGGAAAAGATTAGTTCAATATACTAGGATAAAGTGAGTATTCATTAAACTGATAGAAAGAGAGGATTATATAGGACTATTCTCGATTATTCGAGATTTGCAGTCAAATATGAATGTCAAAAGCTTTCATATAACATTTAATTTTAATTTTAATTTTACTACTTCTATTTTCAATTTAATTTATATTTTACTCAATATTTCATGTGTATATTATAATGCATTATGCAAAAAGTATTATTCTTTATTTCAATAATTCAGTGATTTTACGATTACGAATTTTTCAATGATTACAATTTTTCAATTTCAATTATTACGGATTATAAAATCAGGTTTTCATTTACATTATCCATTTTTTTCTTTTTATTTACTTTTTATTTTTTTTTGTTTATGTTTTTTTTTTCTTCTTGCTTTATTTATTTATTTATTTTATTTTATTTTATTTTAGACTGATGAGGTGCTTAATTAGCATATTCTAAATCTGAAATCATTAAATCTCGTAATTAATTACTTTTGTTAATTCAGGAATAGCTTCTATCTACATGATATTATTGTTTATGACGTGGTCAAATGGCAGTTGGAGGAGGAAAGAATTTGAAGAATTGTCTTCTATTCATATGAAAATTAATTTCTATTATTCTTTAAGAATAATAGAAATACTAATTCAGAATTGTTCGTCAGCTTAAAATGACCTGTAATTAAAATTTTGAAATCTGTTTTGCAAATATTTGAATATAAAAGAAATTGGTTAAATGAATAAAAAAAAAAAATGAATAGGGAATGATTATGACAAATATTTAAATTTAATTTGTTTTTATTTTATCACTGTATTATACTGATATAAACACTAATCAAAATATTATCACAATAATTTCAAATTGTTTGAGTATCAATTTTAAAGTATAATAATAAGTGATTTATGAACGAAATTATAGATTTCATTATAATTAGTGAATTTCAAACCACAACTACTTGAACAATTTTAATAATTAATTAAATATTAATTAATTAAATAATCAAATAATTTAAAGTAAACCTGATTTCAGTAATTTTGCAGAAAAACTAATTGCTAAATTTTAAACTCTACATTTAATCAACTTAAGTAATGAAGTAATTTAATGGTAATACAGACGAAATAGTTTTTTGTTATCATGTCACAGTTGATGTCATCGTGTCATATAGTTGATGTCATCATGTCATATAGTTGATGTCATCATGTCATATAGTTGATGTCATCATGTCATATAGTTGATGTCATCATGTCATATAGTTGATGTCATCATGTCATATAGTTGATGTCATCATGTCATATAGTTGATGTCATCATGTCATATAGTTGATGTCATCATGTCATATAGTTGATGTCATCATGTCATATAGTTGATGTCATCATGTCATATAGTTGATGTCATCATGTCATATAGTTGATGTCATCATGTCATATAGTTGATGTCATCATGTCATATAGTTGATGTCATCATGTCATATAGTTGATGTCATCATGTCATATAGTTGATGTCATCATGTCATATAGTTGATGTCATCATGTCATATAGTTGATGTCATCATGTCATATAGTTGATGTCATCATGTCATATAGTTGATGTCATCATGTCATATAGTTGATGTCATCATGTCATATAGTTGATGTCATCATGTCATATAGTTGATGTCATCATGTCATATAGTTGATGTCATCATGTCATATAGTTGATGTCATCATGTCATATAGTTGATGTCATCATTGTCATATAGTTGATGTCATCATGTCATATAGTTGATGTCATCATGTCATATAGTTGATGTCATCATGTCATATAGTTGATGTCATCATGTCATATAGTTGATGTCATCATGTCATATAGTTGATGTCATCATGTCATATAGTTGATGTCATCATGTCATATAGTTGATGTCATCATGTCATATAGTTGATGTCATCATGTCATATAGTTGATGTCATCATGTCATATAGTTGATGTCATCATGTCATATAGTTGATGTCATCATGTCATATAGTTGATGTCATCATGTCATATAGTTGATGTCATCATGTCATATAGTTGATGTCATCATGTCATATAGTTGATGTCATCATGTCATATAGTTGATGTCATCATGTCATATAGTTGATGTCATCATGTCATATAGTTGATGTCATCATGTCATATAGTTGATGTCATCATGTCATATAGTTGATGTCATCATGTCATATAGTTGATGTCATCATGTCATATAGTTGATGTCATCATGTCATATAGTTGATGTCATCATGTCATATAGTTGATGTCATCATGTCATATAGTTGATGTCATCATGTCATATAGTTGATGTCATCATGTCATATAGTTGATGTCATCATGTCATATAGTTGATGTCATCATGTCATATAGTTGATGTCATCATGTCATATAGTTGATGTCATCATGTCATATAGTTGATGTCATCATGTCATATAGTTGATGTCATCATGTCATATAGTTGATGTCATCATGTCATATAGTTGATGTCATCATGTCATATAGTTGATGTCATCATGTCATATAGTTGATGTCATCATGTCATATAGTTGATGTCATCATGTCATATAGTTGATGTCATCATGTCATATAGTTGATGTCATCATGTCATATAGTTGATGTCATCATGTCATATAGTTGATGTCATCATGTCATATAGTTGATGTCATCATGTCATATAGTTGATGTCATCATGTCATATAGTTGATGTCATCATGTCATATAGTTGATGTCATCATGTCATATAGTTGATGTCATCATGTCATATAGTTGATGTCATCATGTCATATAGTTGATGTCATCATGTCATATAGTTGATGTCATCATGTCATATAGTTGATGTCATCATTGTCATCAAAATAAAATATCACTAAAATTTATTTGTAATCAAGCAAACTAATTTTCTATGCACAAGAAGTATCATTTATACAATAAATTTGATATGATTAATCATTGATAATCCGAATTTTGCTGTCCAAAAGATGTGACATTTGATTGATATCAGCAAATGACATTTCATTTGATATTTAATATAAATAATGATTTTGTATTAAAGAGAAATGAATAAAAATTATAATAATAATAACCAAAAAATAAAATTAAATTAAGAAAAATAATTTTTTGAAATGAATTCATACCATTTCATTCCAACTTTGCAATTTAATTTATAAACTCTTTTAGTATTACTTTAATAACATATGATTGAATATAACTCATCTAACTGTACATAAATTCACCTTATTTTTATCACAAATAAAAGTAAAATTGAAAATTTTCACTCTTATTGTTGATTGATTGATTGATGTCATTTCGGTTTGTTCCGGTTTTCAATTCGGTTTTCAATTTCAATTCTAAAATTTTCATTTCAGAATTTCAAATAATACAATCTTTATTACACATCTTTTTAGCAACAGAGAGAGATGTCTTCTGCTTCTTGTCATATTTATTTACATTTTGTTAATCTGATAGTTTCACTAATCCCTCAAATCCTTAAATAAACTATTAAAATGTTAAAAAAATTTTTCAACTGATAAAAATTTGCTTACAATTATTGTTTTACAATTGCTAAATACTTCAAATATACTTTGATAAAGTAAAGTAAAACAAAACTTTGCTATCCAGTGATAAGATAAACAAGATAACCTTTGACCGACTTATCATCATTTATCACTATGATAAAATTTATCACAAAAATATTGAACAAATTGCTAAATACTTCAAATATACTTTGATAAAGTAAAGTAAAGTTTTGCTATCCAGTGATAAGATAAACAAGATAACCTTTGACCGATTTATCATCATCTATTACTATGATAAAATTTATCACAAAAATATTAAACAAATTGCTAAATACTTCAAATATACTTTGATAAAGTAAAGTAAGAATTTATTATAGGAAATTTTGCTTAGTTATAATTTGAAATAAATTGTGTGAAAGATAAACAAAATTTTTCATTAAAATGCTAACAAACCACCACAATTCACACAGACATAGCAACAATGCATTGATAATTTCACAGAGATATTTACTTTCTATGAGAAATGGAAAAATGAAGACAAATTGAATGGGTAAGTAAGTGAATGAATGTGGGCAATTGTGTGTGAAAGGAAAGGAAATGAAATGAATGAATGAATTGTGCAAGTGGATGATTTGCCCAAATAAATGGGTATCTTATCCATATGTGCAGGCAACAACAAATAACAAGACAAAAAGCATTGTTACAATAACTAAAGTAAAACAACAAAGGAATGAATAAAGATTAGCTAAACAAAGAGTTGATCATTTTGTAAATTTAAATTTGAAAAAAAAAATGGATCTAAAATTAAAAAAAAAAAATGTAAATCTAAAATTAAACAATTCTAAATTGGGTACAATTTTTAAAATACATTCTTTGTTAATAAACTGTAACATTTTGAACAATGCAAATAAGCTTACCTATACTTAGAGGTAAGTACTCATCCTATACTTAGAGGAGGATGGGTACTGTTGGGTAAATGATTAAAAAATATAAAATTGAAAAATTTGTTTGAGAATCTAAGGAATGTATAAATAAAATAATCACTTCCTAAAATGCTACTTCAGTAAATTAAGGGGAAATATTTCAGGTAGTATTTCACGTTTCACGTTTACTTTAACGTTTTTTCTTTTTTAAACGGAAATTTTCACGTTTTCAGCAGAGAAAAGTACTTAGTTAAATGAATTATAATCCAAAATATCAAATTATTTTATATTAATTATATTGCAGAAACACAAACAAATTTTTTCAAATTTTGAAAAGTTATATATATATAAAATCTTTAATCTTTTAAAATTAACTTTTTTGTTTTCAATTTAATAATTCAATAACTCAATTATACTTTTAAATTTGAATTGCATAAGTACATTAATTATATTTTCAAAATATTTTTTTCCCTTTTATTAAATACCTTTTTGCTTCTCAACAAATAATACCATAATTTCTGTTATTTAAAAAGATTGAAAATTGGTAAAAAAAAAAATATAAAATTGTAAATCAAAAAAATTTAATAATGTCTATTTTTTAAATTCTATCACAATTTCTGGTTTTAAAGTAAAATAATATTATTTCAGAAAAAAAAAAAAGGAAATGCAACATCAATCGAATTTTTCATTATAATTCGCTGTAAAAAAAAAAAAAAGTAAACAATACTCTTTTCAATCATTCTTTCTTTTTTTTTTTTTTTTAAAAAAAATTTGAACTTTCTTTTTTAAAAAAATTTTTCACTCAAATTTAGGTCAAAACCACAAATGACAACTAACTTTTCTTAATTTGATCAAATTATTCAACGAACATCTTTTTGCACTGTTGGATTCCAATTTATAGCGAAAAAAAATTTTATTTCAAATGGTAAAATCATTTATTTGAAATTTTTTTTTTTCTTTTATTATTTTGGTTAGAAAAAGTAGATTTTTTCATTGTAAACAATATTGTAAACAAAAAAAGAAAGACGAATCAGACAATTTTTTGGATCGATTGAATTTCTTTTTTTGTTTTTTTTGTTTTAAATTTTAAAGTAGCAATGAATAAAGTTTAAGGTCAGTGGTTGAAATAATGAAATGGTAAAAGTAATAAGTTAAGTAAAGATGGATAATGAAATGAACAGATGGAATATTTTGTAAGTATTTTATTAGATATAATTGTAAAGTT